CACACACACACACACACACACACACACACACTGCATTAACTCATTTACACATTTGTCTTATCAACTAGTCATTAAATAAATATTTAATACCACTTATGAAATTCAGGGTTCAATGAATTCTGGGGATGGGGACATCATATGGGGAGAAAGAGAAACAAGGAATAGTCACTGCTACCAAGGGCTTTTAGCAGAAGATACTCATGTCCATATAACTAAAATGAATGGTATAACAGAAGTGTTTCAAGTATAAACCATGTGCTGTGAGAATGCTGAGGAAGGCATTAATTCTAATGTGAGAGATGGGAAAGCAAACATAAATGGTTAACAGCCTTGAACTTAGAGAGAAAGGGGATAAGAGCATTCTAGAAAGAAGCAACATGAAAATATCATGAAAGTGTTATATTGGACATAGTATTTCAGATTGAGCAGATGGTTTGATGGGCTTAGCAGGTAGTTTGTCTGAGAGTACAGGTCAGAAGATTGGGTGGGCAAGTTTGGAATATTCTTTATGATTTTATGTGTATAACACTGAGGCTAATCTTGCATTTTTTGGAAAACCTACTTGGTTATCCAAATATTTTGTGCAGGCAAAGATGGATGAGGCTAGGGAGGAAGTGAAAAAAGAACATTGTTCTGAATCTCCAGACAATTAATAGTGGAAAATCAGTGTTGGCCTTAGGCCAGACTACCTGAGCCAGTCTTCTAATGAGATTAAGATCTGCTTTGCTTCTTAGAAATTCTCCACACCATGGGAGCTAACCCCAATCACCACTACTACCACCACAAAGTTCTGGTGGCTGTTGACAAGCTCTGAGCATTCCTAGTTTATCATGAACTCCTCAAAACCAAACCAAGATTCAGAGTTACAGAACTAAGATGCCCGGGGCCACCACTAATATTACATTGGCAAAATGCCAGATGACAAAGTATATCATTTCACCCCTAAAATTATTCCCTTTCTTCTGACCAAGAATGGAATTCACCAAGCTTACAGGACACTGTATAAATATATATTATAGAAAAACCTAATAGGAAGAAAAAGAATGACAATTTTTACTCCATGCTGCCTGAGGCATATTTTTCTCAGTAATTTCCAAGCCTACTGAAAGCTGAAAGTTTCTTTCATCTTACCACCTACCCTATATTACCCCAAATGTAAGCCTTGCCTCTACTTCTCTGATACTTAAGTATTAATCAGCTATTGATTATTTATGATCAATAATTAATTATAATTCACTGATCCAGTGATAACTGGCCAATATTAATAACAAAAAATCAGTCAAAAATAAAAGACTAAGATAAAAAATGTCATTTCTGAGATCCTTTAATTACCTGACATAATGCAAAGTGGTAGTATAACTATTTCTGAAAGAATTACTTTGTGCTTTTTGATGGTGCTAATTGAAAGAAAAGTTTATTCATGGCTGCCAACCAGTGGAGTACAAAATTTCATTTTAACGCTGTCAAGAGAGGAAATCCTCTGTGTTTGCCTTGGTTTGATAAAAATCGGTCTTGAACACCATCTACAGTAACATGGTATTAAAAGCAGGGTTATGAATTGTTGCTTTAGGATTCTCAGCCTCAGAAACCCAAAACCATTTACAAAAAAGAAAAGGATACATTGTTTTAATTGTTCTTTATTATTTATGATGAGAAATCATTTTTTTCCTTGTTTCCCCAGGTGGCCGTGGAGGACCGCGTCAGGCAGCTGCATGAAGCCCACAGGGACTTTGGCCCAGCATCCCAGCACTTCCTTTCCAGTAAGTTTTCAATTTTCATCACTTAACCTCTTCATTGCTTCCTGGTAGCTAAGAATCCAGGAATGAATTATAGTCATTTGTGCCAGATGCAGTAGAGGCATAAATCATCCTGAAATATAACGTGGTACATGACTCCAGAAGGTAAGGAACAGGAGGACCCATTAGATCATTTTGTCCAGTCTTAACAAATACATGAATGTTTCCATAATGTATCCTTGATTGCTAACTTCATTCATATTTTTGAGACTTTATTTTGGCCTATATAAGTTCACTTCATAAAGCTGACAATAATATAATTATAATATGGTCATTCAATTTATGTTACTATGAATCTATAATTGTTTCTATAATTCATTAAAATACTTCCTGCCTCCAAGTTGGAATCCCAGTCTCTGGTATTTGCTGTCTAATTACTCTTATCTCTCTTTTATCTTTGACCCCTACACATTTTTTATTTGGTAGGCAGTTTTAATACTTTATTAATTGTACTTTTAAAATTAGTCATATTGTTTAGTTACTATTAATAAATGTGATATATTTGGTAATTGATGCTAGAAGAAATGGCTTTACTTAACTGAAAACTCAAGTAACATTCTATTAATAATGTATATTGAATTGGCAAGTACCTATTTTCCTGTACTTAATTTTGATTTACACCACTCTTTCTTTGATTGTAAAAAATATATATATGTTAAGTTGTGGTATTTAAAAAGCTATATGTCTAATGTATGGATTTAGCAACTGTTAACATTTTGATGCCTTGCCTTCTGGCCATATCCCAGTATATATGAAGGTTTAACCATCGTTTGAAGGCAATTACTCTGTGCCTGACAATGTTGTAAATATTTACTAATTTAACCCTTATTATTAAGCAACTCCATTAGTTAGGTGCCATTATTCTACCCATTTAAATGAGGAATAGATTGAGGAACACATTGACATAGCTAGTAGATGATAAAGCCAGGATTCTAATTCAAGAAGTCAGCTCTAGAATCTGTGTTTATAACAACTACACTGTACTTTTACTTAATTTGTGTGTCTTGTAAAGAAGAAATAATTCTATATGGTTTCCCCTCAGTCTTCTGCTACATTCTTTTATTTCCACTTTCTGGTTCTTTCCTTTCTTTTCAATTCTCCCCAAGTTATTTAAAAAGATACATGCTAGGGCTGGGGATATAACTCAGTTGGTAGAGTGCTTGTCTCACATGCGCAAGGCACTGGGTTCAATCCCCAACATACACACACACACACACACACACACACACACACACACACACACGACTAAAAAGATAAATGTTGCCAGGTGCTGGGGGGCACACACCTGTAATCCCAGCAGCTCAGGAGGCTGAGGCAGGAGGATTGTGAGTTCAAAGCCAGCCTCAGCAACTTAGTGAGGCCCTAAACAACTTAGCAAGATCCTGTCTCAAAATTTTTAAAATTAATTTTAAAAATGGGACTAGGAATGTGGCTCAATGGTTAACCATCCCTGGATACAATCCCCAGTAGAAAGAAAAAGATACATGCTTACAAACATTGTAAAGTATAAGATACATGCTTATAAACATTGTGAAGTATTTAACTAGATGCTTTCACATGTGACTCCGGTTGGTCATGGTATTTTATAGAAAAAAATTCCTGGAAGGGCTGGTCCTATCTTTTCATTAAACATCAATAATGGATTCAGTAAAAGTTCTCATATTTTCTCAATTAATTCTAACCTTCTTATCTGCATGTAATCTAGTTATTTGAACAGTATCCCACAAGTTTAGGAGTTGACAAGAAAAAAAAAGGGAGATAAAGGAGTTTATCACAATGAATAGGGTTGTGGCTTTTAGGGATGGCTCTTAAAAAATTTAAAGGCAGCTGGGTGTGGTAGCACATGCTTGTAATCCCAGAAACTCAGAAGGCTGAGGCAGGAGGATTGCTAGTTCAAGGCCAGTCTCAGCAATTTAACAAGGCCCTGAGCAACTTAGCGAGATGCTGTCTCAAAATAAAAAAAATAAAATAAAATAAAGAGGAATGGGGATATTGCTCAGTGGTTAAGCTCCCTGGTACTGAAAAACATATATATTACAAAGACTGCAAATTTTGTCTTCTATATTTTTCCAAATCTCTGGTCACCTTAATTCGCCTTGGTGACAGCCATTTATTTGATTTAATTGAGATAAAATGTGATAACATACTCCTAAGTGACTCATAGACCATAAATAAAAATATTACTATTGTGAATATTAATTACTCCTCAGACAATTTGTATTCATTCATACTTTCTTTTCTGGCCCCCTCCTTCTGAATTCCCATGTCTTCTCTATTAAAACCTATTCCCAGAAAATGATATGTTATACTCATTTAACCCAGGTTTCAGGTAAAGTTTAATGTGTACTTCTCTGGGTTATTTGCATTTTAATAGGGTAAAAATCCATAAGCCTAAGGAATGGCTCTCTGGTGTCAACCAGAAGCTCTGAGCTGTACAGAAAGAGTATCCAGGGGCAGGTGGAGCATCCTCACACCTTTCAAATCATATCACATCAGTGCCCACTTCCAGAAAGGTCAGGCCTGCAGATATGGACACTCATTAAAAGATTGATCTACCTGCCTGAATGGAGCCAGCCCTAGAGGTCACCAATCTCTCAGATGCCCATGTAGAATATCAATATATGCTTAGAAGCTTTGCCTGTGTATATAAAAAAGTATACCAATTTGTTTTAAAGGATATTTAAGAAATAGAACAGTGAGGCTAGACATGGACTGTGTCTTTCTGTTATCCTTTGTTAAGTTATGAAGGTAATATATGCCTATCAAGGAAAATTTGCAAAGCAGAGAGTACTAACAGGAAAAGGAAAATTATCCACAATCCCACCACTCAAAGATAAACACCATCAGAAATATTGTTTGTATATTGTCTGTTTTAGTTTGTATATATGTTATCCAGGTTCATTTTTTTCTTCTAAACTAAGCAGGAATAAAAAATATGTTACAGTTGCATGATCTGCTTTTTCCCCTTAATCGTATATTAGAATAGTTTTATTCACTATTATATCCAATGTTATGACTCACATTCTTTCTATACCTTTACAAACATCTCAGATTCTTTCTAAAAGACAAATGCCTGTCTAATTGCTGTGTTAAAGGACGTTTACATTTAAAGCCTTCTCGTATATGTTGCCAAACTGATCTCTAGTAAGTTGTACCATCTAGTAAGTTGGGTGCACCACCAAAACCATGTTTGAGGAAGGGCCTGTTGGAAGTCACTTCCCAGCTATTAGATTGTAATCTATAGAAGAAAAATAACCTCCTTCCAAAACATAAAAATACGCTTAAAAATTCCACTAAGGTCATTTCAAATGAGTTTAAGTTGTTTAGTAACAGTGATTTGCTTCCAGGTTACTAGGAATAATAATAGAGTGATTTCTGAAACTTTGATATTACAGTGGAGCCAGGTGTGGTGATGCATGCCTATAATCCCAGCAATTAGGGAGGCTGGAGCAAAAGGATCACAAGTTTGAGGCCAGCCACAGCAACCTGACAAGACCTTGTGTCAAAAATTAAAAGGGTTGGGGATGTGGCTTAGTGTTTAAGCACCCTAGGTTCAATTCTCAGTACAAAAGAAAAGGAGAGAGAGAGAGAGAGAGAGAGAGAGAGAGAGAGAGAGAGAGAGAGAGAGATTGATTGAATGAAAAATAAGGATAAGTCACTAACTACACCCCTGCCCACAAACAGGCTTATTGACTATTGACTCCCCACTCCCACCCCCACCCCCCACCTCCACCAATACATAGACTCTCATTTGGAAACTACATTGCCAGCTGTCTTTTTATCATAAGAGAGAGGCAGCATCTTACTAAAAGAAGTATTCACTGTTTCTTCTTGGTGGCCCAATCTGTACTTGTTAAAGAAGTTGTTTCTTTTATCTTAGATCTGAGAGAAAATGAGAAGAGAAAAACATTGTAAAATGTGACCCTTCTCCATTGATAGACACTAACTTGTCTTTAATTCTAGTTTGAAAACTCTAGTACTCCTAATTGACTTCTGCAACTTAAACTAAAAAAAAAAAAAAAAGAAATTCTAGTATTACGATTTTAAAACGTTTATAGATTTTACTATACAAATAATTATAAAAAATATATGTGGGCTAGGAACAGTGGCACACACATGTAATCCCACCAACTCGGGAGGCTGAGGCAGGAAGATTACAAGGTTAAAGCTAGCCTCTGCAGCTTTGCAAGACTGCATCTCAAAATAAAAAATGAAAAGGCCTAGGAATATAGTTTAGCAATAGAGTGTCCCTGGGTTCAATCCCCAGTTCGTCAAAAGAAAAAAAAAATATTCTAGAATCCCCTAAAGGAACATTTTCCAAGTTGGGTTTCTCCGCACATTAAAGTTCTTTAAGATTTTAATAACTGTCCCTTGAAAAATTAATTCTACGATGAGTAAGATTGGCAAAACATGAGTTTATAAAGACTAGCACTCTTCAAGACTAGACTTTTCTAATGGAATTCTTGGAGCCTTTATGAGGCACTTAGACTCTAAAAGGAAGATGGAATTTGGTGCTCTTTGTCATACCTGTAACTATGAAAGCATTTTTGAGGCACACCAATTAATTTATCACTAAACATGTCTTAAAGCATACTGAATCTTTGCCCCAAAGTGGTATTTCCTAAATGGTATAATTACAAGAATTTTCTGCCCAAAGTAGTAAGAATGGGACCCACTTAAAAAGAAAAAGGGTCAACTTTCTATCTTCCCTGAAGTTCCCAGCCCCAGCCCCCTTCCCGACTCCAGGAGTCTCCTTATGTTATGAAGTTTCCTAACTAGAGAGAAGCTTAGAATGTAACTATACTAATAGCTTTCAGACTCATAGGTGTGGCTTAGTAGAGAATTTTAAAATCAGTTTAATGGTTTGCATCCAACTATTGTTTAATGGAATGGAATGAAGCAGATGAGAAAATATTAGAGTACATTACACATTAAGGTTAAGTATTCTTTTGACACTTTGGTTG